AAATAGTAAATATAGCGGTAGTCGAAATGAAAAAAATATCCCCAAACCTTGAACGATTGATATCATGGCCCCAATACAGCTTACCGTCGAAACACCAAATTAAAGGACTTGAGGATGTACCTAAACCATAGATATAAATAACATTACATGTAGGAAGAGTACATTAATAGGTTTGGTAATGGCTGTCTCGACACACCTGCATTATTTTACATCGAAATGCAATCAAATGTACCTAAAGGGTCCAAGCCAGGGGGGATGATCGGTTACATGTCATAATAAACACCATAAAGATGTTCGAACATTGAACACGTGGCTTGAGTCTAAAAAAAAAAATGTATAGATCAGTTTCCTTTTTGTTCATCAACTAAAAATCAAGATAATCGACGTTGGGACTCTATTTTGGAGGTGAAAGAAGTGTCAGCTTTTAGGAGATATAAATTTAATGATTTTTTTTTTTTTTAAGATTAAACTTTTTGAAAACATTAAAAATTTTAAGTTCAAATTGCTAACCATTTGTGAATATTTTGCGCGCATCAAACTTTTAATAAAAAAAGTATGTAGTGTGCAGTAGCCATGCCAAACGGACCATTGTTCGAACTTAGCATCTCTTATTACTTGGAACTGTAACGAAATATATTGCATTAAACTTCCACTAATCAAAATAAACTTACATTCAATTACTCGACCTGTGACCAAATATAACTCGTGTATTTGAGATACGATAAGAACATGGTTACAAATCCAATACAAAAGCCAGGAATGAAACGTGAACAGGGATACGATGGCAGCATATGGATATCAAATGAAGGGGATAAATTTGTCAAAAATACTAGTAAGAAGATGTAAAATAACAAACATGGTGGTAATACTAGGCTGATATCTATGGGGCAAAATATGCAACTACAAATATAAAAGCCAGGAAAAAGTATCGTCGTATAACAACTATAATACAAGCATTTTGGAGTATTTGTTCGAGAACCCACCTTATGTAAAAGATTGAGCAACTGAAGATGTAGTAACCAAACCCGAAAGAAGGCCAACAATGACTGCACTGTTGTATGTGCTTGGTTCTGTCTGCATTGAATTGTTCCTCGAATCAATAAATGACTCGTTGCGGAAAGGTCCACCGACTAGTGCTCCGATTGCAACATTTGGATTCGGTTTATCCAACTTGAGCCACTTGAAACCATCTTTGCAGCCAGTTGTTGCGTCAGCTGGAATTGAGGCTCCTCTGTGATGCACGTACTGTGGGTACTTATCCCCGTAGCCCACGAGATAACTCATCTTCAAGGGGTTGTTACCCAATACATAGTCAGCCTGAAACAAAGCGATAACAAACATATATAAGAACTGTGAGCATGTGAGCTCGACATGGACAAGAGATCTGGTTACACCCTAACGAGCAGGTGTCGTGGACCACCGCTCCTGTTAGTCTCTTGAGCACGTGCATCTGCAGTACATGCTCAATTCCGGTGCATGTCTCTTTGGAAATATTTTTTATTTTAAAAGTTTATTATGATTCATCAGTCTTGGACTTGGTATTCGTAAAGTTTACCAAGTGATTTCTTGAGTTCATCCCCAGCTCTAACTGTTGTAATTTAGAGCTTTCTACTATCAATGAACAATTACTTTTGCATTCAGTCGTCCTTACTTTAAAGATTTCGTTAATGCTTTCGAATTTGCAATTGTTGCAATTGCAAGCGTACTGTGAATATGGTGCCCTTTTCGGTGCCGTGAAAGGAGTCCCTAATCATCGGGTTAGGTTTTTAAGTTTTTGGTGAAGACAGAAAGTGTACCTGTGACAAGGCAAACTTCCGCAGGTCCGATGGCCTATAGTTATCTCCATCACAAGATATCTTTGCGGTACGAGATGAAAGCATGTAATCACTGTATACAACGGCTAAAAATGCTGATGCCACAGGATGCTGCAGAGCATTCCAGTCACTGACCCATATCAAACCGTCTGCATTAACAAACCGCACATGAACAAAACTTCAAATGAATGAACATGCAGAAAGAACTTAACTTCTTAATGTCATGCGAACAATATTGAAGACGATGGTCAAAGGAAGGAAACTGAATAATGAACAAAAAAACATAATGATGTTTGGTAACTAGTACTAGATGGGATTTGAGTATACTACGAACAAGATTTTAGCTTCTTTTTCTTCTTTAATAATATCCTGTCATGTTTAGCCATGTCCATACTACGTACCAAAATGCATTAAGTATTAAAGCATCGGAAGGAATATTACTGTCAGTTCTACTGGTTGTAGCAGTTGGAGATTTTGGTAGGAGACCGCACATGACAGCCTCTGCCGATTTCCTGTACTTTTGGAGGACATTGGAGCTTGAGACATCTTTCGACCCGAAGAAGTTAACCCTGGACAGAAGAACCTGCAGCAAAGCATTGGATTACTTTCTCAATCCACGAGCCAACTTAATACAGTTCGATGATAAAAGAATATAGAATTGAGGTTACCTAATAGTATGCCATGTCTACTAACATCGATGATTGTAAAACAGGTCGATGTAGCTTAATAAGTGAATAAAATTTCACCAAAAAAATAATAATTAAACGGCATGTTTGATATACTAGACTGGACCGCACTGGATTGGATTAAATAAGAAATACATGTTAAAATCTCCTTTGATACACAATGCAATGTTGACCAATACTGCTTACAAAACATGCCGCAAGAGTTTTTTCTCGTGACTAACATTGCTATTGATCCAAAGAATTTTCACGGAAATAAACTCTTGAGATATTGTGCAACAAATGTACCTCGCAACTGGAACCATAGAGTATTAAGTCTCTAAAAGAAGCCAATTAGCTCAAATTAAATTGTTTATACATAAATAAATAATAAATTAATTAACTACAAATCCAGTAAATAAAAAATTCTAAATCCAAATGCAATTTAAGAGCCTAATTTAAATATTCTCCAAAGAGTTGTGAAAATCAATTTCTTGAAAGAACAAAATGTACCTGAGTACCAGCCAGCTTGTTATCCCAGCTAAACCATGTAGGACTTCCCCAATTAGCAAAGTCTTCACCATTTTTTCCAGTCACATATTCAAAATATGATCGCTCCCCAGTTGCATGATAGAGCCAACTAGCTGCCCATAAGAGCTCGTCCCCATAGCCAGTCGAGTTGTAAAAGTTTTGCACATCGGGAATGCTAACGCTATAAGATTCTCTATGTTTGTCAGCAAATGTGAACAATTGTTTAGAATGCTTCAGAAGCAGGCTCGAATATTCAGAGTCAGTTGACTTAAACACCAGGGACGCCGCTGCCATAGCTGCCGCAGTTTCTGCAGCAACCTCAGTACCCGGGGCAGAAGTGTTAACCTGAGTGAGTGGTCTTTTCCCAGTCATGTCCTCGGGCCTGTCCCAACAAGCATGGTCGGCTTTAGGATCGCCCACCTGCCAACATTTGAAATTGTGAAAGAAAACAATTTAGAAATATTTCATCAACTAAAAAGAAAGAATATACACAAAATAAATTTCTACGCTAAATGGCACACAAAACAAAGGCCCAGAACTCCATTTGCCAAGCTCCGTATCAACATAACGAGCATGCATACTAATTCAGTAATCATTAGATAATCTAACCAAATTTTTTCTTTTTTTTTTTCGCTAACAAGTTAAGTAGAGATTGGCATAAATTAGAGCATGTTTGGAAGAGCTTTTCCAAAGCCTAGAAGCACTTCCTGGAAGAGCTTGCATATTAATTCAGTAATTATTAGATAATCTAACCGAATTTTATTTTATTTTTTCGCTACGTGAAATATTTTGAATTAGAGTGGCTACGTGTTGTATAAAGATAACTTTGGGTAAACTAGACATTGCTGCTACCCGAAAGAAAATACACACACTTGATAAATAACAAATTTGATATGAAATTCGTAAAATCTTTATCACGGGGATTCAATTAAATTTCTACGAGGATATTTTTTCTTTAAAAACCCAGAAACAAAGGAAAGATGTGTAATGCACTAGACAGGTTTTTTTAGATGTATTAAACTTACGTAATTAGTGACTTCCAAAATATGAAATAAAAAATTATATGAGCACATCATATTAATAGGCTCTTAATCAATGGTTGGAGCTCAGTGAAGAAAATTAGAGGACCTGAATGTAAAGAACATTTTCCGAAGGATGAGCATTTATGAGGTAGTCGGTGATCCACTTGAGCGAATCCTGAGCAGGTTCCAATTGATTCACCACTTTCATTTGATCCCCATACTCCAAGATGGTCCACGACAATACTGTGGCCGTGAAAGCCATCGGGAATCCAAACTTAATGTGATCTCCAGCATCATACATACCTTTCGAAAGATCTAAATTTGCTTCACTTCCATCTTTCAGAGCAGAATCACCTCTCCAAGATATCTTATTATTCACCAACTTCCCCGCTGCGACATGAAGCAGCAATTTCTCAACACAAAATTAAAAACAGAGAAGTACTACTTCAAATAGAAATCTAATAATATAATTTTTTTCTTTCTTAATGATCACATATTACAACATTATTGTAACCCTGTGTTTGAACATTTTAAAGAAATTAATCAAGAGAGCAACAATTAATGACCTATAAGTACAATTTGAAACAGATATTCAATCATATAAATAATAACAGCATAATTACCACAAGGCATCTAAAAATATAAATGCACTCTCATATTAACTAATTAATTCAGATAACTAAGAAAACACAAACCAAGTCATAATTACAAAACCTAAGCATAATCAGGGACGGATTTAGGGGGGTCTGGGCCGGGCTGCAGCCCGGTCCAGCCCCCAGCCCATTTATTTTTTTTAGTAGAATTTTTTTATGTAAAAAAAATATTTCTTGTGTATTTTTTTTTTACGTATTAGTCCGGTCTGTCATCCGGTTCTAGATCTGTCCCTGAGCATAATAATTAATTTTTTTCCAAAAATAGAAGTAAGGACCAAGAGCATGTTTGGCTTATTAAGCATAGAAAGACATTACATTTACTTTTAAAGAACTTGGTTTACAAACACATTTGAATATGTTAATTTTTGTTAGGTTTAGTTTAAGAAAGTATTTTATTTTGAAAGTAACTCTTATATCACGGGTGAAGCAAGTAACTTAATTATTTTCAACTTTGATCAACAAAAACTTAATTTTAAAAAAAAAAATCTAATTTTCTTGTAAGTAAACTTTTTAAGCAAATCTAAACATGATCTAAATGAAGTACTCTAGACTAGACTAGATTACAGTAATGTATCAACATAGTAACTGCTAAAACCAAAAGATGACAAAGACATCATGACACACAGATCTAATCAAATCACAAGTTTAATCAAAAAGGAAAAATAACAGAGAATGAGGAACTGACTATACCTTTCTGTATCTCCAAGAACTGCATAGCAGTTTTGAGAGCGTCGGCATATTTCTGCGTAACCGCACCGGGAGGCCCCGGAACAGGAGCGGCTTCAAAATCTGATCCTTTCTTGTGCATTTTCTGCTTTACAGTTAATGCAATTGCAAATGCAATTGCTGCTAATACTATCGACACAATAAACCACCCAAACCATCCTCTTGACCCCGATTTCTCTCCCATTTTTCTTTAATAGTAAAGAAATTTCCTTGAAACTGTAGTAATAGGTTAAGGGTTTTAATTGCGGGATCTGAGCATGGAAAACGAAATGGGCCGCACTGAAAAATGCGGGGCAAATTACAAGGTTTTGATCTTTGTTTGGAAATTTTTTGTACAGGAAATGGAGTTTAACTGTGACTAGAAGGCAATGTGGGAAAGGGGTCCGGAGAAATTGGGGGTTGAAGGAAGAAAATGGTTGGTTTAATGGAGTCGATGGATCTGTAACAGTTGGGTACTTACAAGGCAGAATCTCTCACCGACAGTTCCTATAACGATGACGTTTGTCCTAGCTTCTTTCCCGAGGGTTTTTCAGCCTGCGAAATGACGAGAATGCCCATGGTAGTTGTGTTAGATTTTTTCTTCAGTTGGGAGGTGTTTCTCAAAAGGTGAAATAGCACATAACGTCTATATGTTTCAATATCATTGTGCAAAACATCCATACATTTTATTTTTTAACATTTTAATCCCTGTCTTCCACATTTCATTGTGAAAAAGTTATTTTCAACCATTTTTTCAATAAAATGATGATTTTACCCTTCTATTTCAGTGTTCTAAAATGCGTAATGCGTTGCGAATCGTCGAGGTCGAGAATTAAGAATCACAAGTTTAGGCGTGTCAATGCGAAGAATAAGCGTCATAATGCGTTTCGTATTTTTAAGACATTAAATATATTTTTATATAAAAAATAGATTTTTTAATATATCATAAAAAAATAGATTTAAAAAAAAAAGGACCATTTTAATATATAAAAAAACAGATTTTAAAAAAAAGGGAGGATTAGTCGGACTATTATGCCCTGGCGCGTCTTTTAGTTGAAAAACGCATTTTTCTCGCATTTCCCGAATTCGACGCGTTTTGGTCGCGCGTCGCGCCTAGGCGAGCCTAGGCGACGCATTTTTCTGTTTTTTAGAAGAAAACATAAACAACTAATAGCAATCATAATCCTAAATTTTTCAAAATATTATAGATAAGTCTTAAATTCTCCACCACCACCACTTTCACAACCCCACCAAGCCACCAACTTCTGGCCACCACATCGTCGGATTCCACCACCACTAGTCTCGCTTCACTCTCCCCAACATCCTCTCCTACAGTATTGGTCACAAAATCCGTCGAAAACAGCCACATTGCAATCTAAAATACCAAACTGCCGTATACAACCCTTCACGGCAACCCCACTTTCGGAGCCACCCACAGTCGCGTGCCACTACTGACAGTTACCCCTCACCTCGACGAACCTATATATGGCTTCACATCAACCAAACACGTTTCAAATCATTCTACTGTAATCTAGACATTTGACAATGACGACGTCCATTTTGCCAAAGTCTTCTCCTTCAATTCTTGCATCCCACAACACTAAATCTCCAAATTCGCATCAATCAAACCATCAACAAATCCAAACGACAATAGGTATGAATTTAATTGAACCAATTATTCCCCCAACCATTTCAATTTCTGGTCCAAAACTCTCCACGACCGCTATGCACGGAGAGAGCTGTCTGACCAAAATTGGTGAGTCCTAAGTGCTCCAATCTTTAGATTCGTGTGGGGAAGGACGGTAGGGGAATGAAGCGAGGTTGATGGTGGTGGAGTCTGGTGGGCGTGGTGGCCGAATGGTGGTGCTATATGGATCTATAGGTGACAGCTTGGTAGGTTGTGAAAGTAGTGGTGGTGGTGGTGGAAAATTTATAATTTCTTTGTAATTTTTTAAAAACTTAAGGATTATAGTTGCAGTTGGTTATTCATCCTTTTGTTTTCATGTTATTTGAATAGGATGGCAAAATTGTCTTTTATTGAAAAAATGGTTGAAAATGACCTTTTGTGCAATGAAAGGTGGAAGGTGAATAGGTGATGGTGAAAATGCCAAAAAATGAAACGTATGAACGTTTTGCACAATGACATTGAAAGATAGGGATGTTCTGTGCTATTTACCATTTCTCAAAATACAATTTTGCTCATTCTTAGCTGTGATTGTCACTAGACAGTAGCCTCTAGTTTATTTCTAATAACTTTTTGCTATTTATGATTAATGGTAATAATCATTCAACTTAGGTATATTCACCCCTCAAATTTAGCGTTCAATGCATTGAGAGGTCATATATCCATGTATTAATCACCACTTTGATATATGAGACAATGAAACAGAAGGATCACTGCCATCGAAGCTGATAATCACCATTAATTATGAGTAACATTACTCTTTCCATGGTAATTCACAAGATTAACTTCACCTTGTTCAAAATAATAGTAAGTTGTTTCGTAAAATGTTCAATTTGACTAACTCAAATATACATTTCGCATCTCGATCAATTTGACTTTTGCTTGAGTCTGTTAAACTATCAAAATTATAGTTGGACATAGTGTTACAACTATCTATTTTGATTTTATTATATATTTTTTTAAAATTATCTTACAAAAAAGATTATATTTCATTAAATATTATTCTCTATTGAACTCTCGTTCTCATCAAAATTAAAATAAGAATCAAGAATAGTTGGTGTTATTGTGGATTCAGAAGTCTAGACTCAACATGTTCTTAAACTTGCATCGATTAGCATGTTCAAGTTTTTCAATAGCCTATCAAAATAGTTCTGACAATCACATTTTCCATTTTGTCGATCTAGAGTAGTATTTCTCGAAAAGTTTCCTCATAAGAATAGTATTTTATTATGTCACCACATGTTAGATTTTATTCTCAATAAATTATGTTTAATTACGTTAATCATTTTAATACTCTATTTTATTCACACTAAAAGTGCTTTTTACTCTATCTGAAGTAAGTTAGAAATTAATTATAATGATGGGTGAACTAAGTAAGATTAAAACTTAGGACCTCAATTATAACGGCTAATAAAATGATTGGGTTGTTGAGTTGAATGGAAGATTTTAATTATTGCAGTAAACTCTACCAAGGGAGAATTTTGAATTGGTACAGTATCAGAAATGATTACTTTAAATATATACTAAACAAATCATTTTCACAGCATGTCGATATGTCCGAGTGGTTAAGGAGACAGACTTGAAATCTGTTGGGCTTCGCCCGCGCAGGTTCGAACCCTGCTGTCGACGATTTCTTTTATAATACCAATGTAACTTCTGTTTTTGTTTAATTTTATAATTGTCTTTGTTTTTTCTAGTTACTTTTCAATTCTTTTTTTTTTTTTTTTTAGTCTTGTTTTCATTTACTTGCTAGTTTTGGACTAAATTGGTTGGTTCTAACTTCTAAGTTCTAAGATTATTTGAGTCCTTTCTAACTTTTAAATTTTTTAGGTGGGTACATTTTTGTTCAGTTTAGTTTCAAAGAGAACATATCGAACAAAATCAAGAATCAATGAAAATTTTATAAATTGAACCGATTCCAAATGTAATTATGAAATCGAGCCATTCAGTTCCATAATGATAATGAGAGACATTGCGTTAAATATAAACTAAAGTTTCATGAATAATCGAAACAAGAAATATTCAATTTATTTTAAGTTATTGATTCCAAAGTCTTTGAACATTACTAATATTCAAAATCGTTTAAATTAGATTGAATCAACCGATTTGATACTTTTGTCCACCCCACAAAAAAAATTAATTCCAATGTCGAACCGTATGTCACTTTTTCGGATTAAACTCGTGGATTCGATCTAGCTTTGGTTTTGGTATTTCCTTTTCTTGATAACTATGGCGTGATGCCATTGATACCTATTTTTGGTGGCTTGTCTGACTCTCTAGAACTACATTTCTCAATCAGACAGTCTTGAACACATTTCCAATCAAATTAAGCCATGAGCATTAAGTTCAGGTTGATAGCCACATTTCAAGAACTCACTTGTGACACTTTTCTTTTTGAACACCCGCAAGTGTCGTTTTCGATCATTTTTTTATAGATCATACATGTTCATTTATTTTCATGTACACGTAATATATAAGTGGATCATTGAGTTACTAAATCATGAAAATAGAAGACACTTTTTTTAAAAAAATTAATCATTTAAACTTTTGAATAACTTCATTAATTACAGTGGAATCCACTATCTCGTAATGATGAAGAAAATAAGGGGAACTTCCTTTTATTTTTTCGACAAATGTGTTACTCATATAAATAATTGTAAAAATAAATGCTACGTGGCAAGCGGACAAGCCCACAGGTGTCATAGCAACAGGCAACCCTGTATATGTCGAAGCCATTCCAATCCAAACGTTGCTCATTCGATCCTTGTTGACAGAGGCGTCGGCTCGCTCCTGACGAAGTGGTAAGTCAACCAATAGCAGACTTAATGAAATGATTGACAAGACAATATCATGCCAGTGCCGTCTCTACACGTCTACGTAGTCAAATCCTATGTCAAGGGAAAAGATAAAGGGATCTATGCATTAATGGCTTGATTAATTGATTGACTCTAATAAGGACCATTGGATCTTTTACCATCGAACGGGCCCCGCTGACTCAACATGAGATATAAAAAGCCTACACGTCATACGTTAAGAAAAACAATGAGAATTTGCACATCAAAAGTAAACCTTGATTCTCCATACTACACCTTGGGGCGAATCGAGACCATTTTTCTTGTGGGGTCAAAAATGAGAATTCAAAAATGTTTAGGTTAAAAAAAAACAAGAGGAAAACTAAAAAATAAATAAATTGTGGGGTCATTTGACCTCACATGACCCCATGTGGGTTCGCCAGTGACTACACCCAAAGGTCGACCCCATTTTTATGCACCATACAACCGAAAATAACGACCTACAAAATGCTGTAAACCATTCCATGTATTGATTGATCAATATAGCTAGTAGTTGGACTCGATCATATTGCGATTCGATCTACAAGGACTTGAGTTTCTAATTTTCTGTTGGCCACGTTATAGGACCATTTTTTGGGGGTCAACAAAATGTATACTTGTGTGATAAGAAAAATGACTGGGAAACTTATTTTTTCTATTAAGTCACACTTGTTATATGAGATTTGACAC